CATTATGCGATTGAAAGCTAAAGTTGTCATAGCTTTGAGCAAGATAATCAAAGAGCCTGCTTGTAAAGTGATTTATTTTGATAATGATACCTGAGAAATGGGTACGGGATATTTTCCTTGGAAACAGTGAGACCAAATCGTTTGCCGTGTCGTGGAAGAGACAAAAAGCCTCCTTCTGATAAAATTTTGAATAAACGAGGCCGCGGACCTTTTTCGCAAATTACTTCTAATGAAAGAAAAGTAGCTGTGGTCAAATGGTTTGATAATGTTTTACTGTGACTAGTTCTTATGTTGATGCTCATCCAATTGACCATATATTAAGGTAAAATAAAGACAAGTAGCGCAAAGAGTCAGTGCCCTGTCCAAACATAGTTCGGCAGTGCAATGCTCATATGGGAGATGTAGATTTTGCGGATTGCGCTTTATCGCACGGAAATGGGAGTGCATAGATGGTACATACCTCTATTCTCACAAATGCTTGACATGTGTATAAACGTTTATCATATTATTCATTTGATTTGTTATTTTATGATGCTCTTTACTTTAATCCTATAAATTTTATGGAATAATAAAATTTTATAGAAAAGAGACATCTAGCCTACAATGCCTAAACTAAAATAATAGTACCAAGTATAATAAGTGCCGAGTGTTTGGCAGAATAGAAGAAATTTCCTTCGTTTCATCACCTAATAATTTGACCTCATTTAAGTGGCTATGCCCTATATAGTGTATTTATCTATGGTTGAAATGTTTTATTTTGCTATTCTACTCTATCACCTTAAAGTTGCTGACAAAAATGATTGAGTAGCGCCATCTTAAGAGATAATTGAGCAGCGCTATCTTAAGAGATGGCGCTACTCAATCATTTTTGCAAGCAACTTTAAAGTGATAAAGTAGAATAGCAAAATAAAAATTTCAATCATAGGTAATATACTATATAGGGCATAGCCACTTAAATGAGGACAAATTATTAGATGACGAAACGAAGGGTTCTTCTATTCTGCCAAAGATGGCGCCAAGATTATAAATTACCGATATAGAGGGCGCTACCAACAACGTTCAGTATTATTTCGTATATTTTGATAAAACTACACGGATATATTATTAAATTGAAACTAACTAAATCTCTGTGAATTACAATTAATTTTACTTCTTTAATAAGACTGTGAAGTGTATTGTTTCATATGGTATTACAGACCTATAATATAGAGGTATTGGCGTCATCTATTGCTTAAAATGGGTAAAAATAGTGGGTTAAATAGTGCTTTAAACGACTGTGAGATGGCGCTTGTACCAACATAAAAGCAAGATACTGACAAATTTCATACCCCTGATTCCACAGATTACCTCCTAATAGATACCGCATCATGGAATATTTGTTTTGTTTCGAATTCACCAAATTTCGAGTTGAGGGGGACGTGTCAAATACGCTGTGATTGGATAATTCAAGGTTGAACTTAGAATGCTCCGAACCATAGTGATGGGACAGGGTTGGGACGTTGATCGAGGATTTATCGATTATTGATAAATAAATGAATTGATCAATTTTTATTTGAAATTTATTAAATAATAAAACAATGTATATAAATAAAAGAATATATATATATATATATATATATATATATATATATATATAATATATATATATATATATATAATACATTAGATTACATGTACAATATATGTACATGTAATCTAATGATTTCTTAAATTTACGCCAACACTACACATTGAATAAAAGTACATAATTATATGGATTTTATGGCGTTTAATTAACATATAGTCACGGGAGGGGGAGGGAACTGAGACGTTTGACATCTCACTATCATAGTTAGCCCGGCTATCTTCAGTTTTTGTATATTGATTTTTGGTCCCGATCTACATAAAACGATCTTACAGTATCTTGAAGTCTTACAGTGGTATGCTTGGTTTTGGATAGATTTTGTTAATTATAGGATCCCAAGCAGATGGCAGCACCCATCCACCGACTGTGGTGGACTTCACTCGGTCGCTGTGACGTAGGCTTGGGACCCAAAGCTTGTTCTCTTGCAATACTTGCTTGACATGCTGAAGCTCGCGGCCAGATGTATTCTGTCACAAATCCCTTGTGCTCTCTGAAACAAATATTTACCCACAGCAAACTATGAAGAAAGATGGTGAGATACACCATTTAAATATCGGTTGGTATAGACCCTTTTCCCATACATAGTATGTCCAATAGTGTTATCAGGATTTTGGATGACTAAAACATCTAGGAAAGCTAAAGTATTATTTGCTTCTAACTCCATCTTGATTTGTATTTTGAAGCTTATGGAGTTAAGGTGGTCTAAAATGCAGTTGCTTTGTCAGACGGTAAAATTTTGAAAGTGTTGTCTATGTACCGCTTGTAGAATCTTGGATATATAGGAGCAGTAAAAAGGGTTTCTCTTAAAGTCCTCCATGATATATGTCGGCGACTATAAGAAATAGGGGTGAGCCCATCGCCATACCATCAACTTTCTTGTAGAACTGTTCCTTCTACAATAGATAGCCAGATGTGAAGCAGTGTTTGAGTAATACTGCATATTCTGTAGGCATGTTGTTATCTTGTAGTTTCCTAGTTACAATTGAGAAGCAGTCTTCAATAGGTAGGCATGTGAATAGTGACTGAACACGTAACTGACCATAGTTTCATTGTCAGCGAGATGTAGGTCCTTTATCTCCTTCCTCTTGAATCCTTTGTGTGTGTTCCGGTATGTACTTTCAGTGGTGACAGTATTTTTGCCTAGTGTTGCACCTAAAAGTAGTATTATTAATTAAGAAACCATACGGTACGTGTTCAAATTAAGATGTACTTAATAACAATAATAATAGGATATTACTGAAGTTCATGTAACACTAGAATAACATTAATCACATTATAACTTTCACTTGTTTTATGGTTTACAAATCCGTTAAAACTAGTTTAATTTCGACGTGTAACATTCGCCTAAATATTAGAATATCGCGTTTCAATCCACCACTTAATGCTATTACTTATTGTGTAATCACCATTGGTATTATACTTTTAAAAAAATGTAAAAGTCCATACTAAAACTGGCAAGTATAGAGATGGTATAGCGGAATCCAACAGCTTTCTACGGTTTTTCATAATATGAAGATTGTCTTCCGTGAAGTATTTTGAGCATAGAACACTATTTTTGGTGGGAAACCATTGGTTCCCTCGACATGTAGCGTCGATCCACATCTTTTCCTTTCGGAGCATTTAGGAAACCTATAACATATAGGTACCACAATTATACGCCACTATTTGTATACAATAATGACTGCAAAAAAAAAGTAAACGATGACCAAACAAATATCGACTTATAAATCACAACACTATCGATACACATGCTGTCGTTAGACAAAGACAACTATTTTAATTTACGTAATGAGTGAGAGGGACATTTCAAAAAGACATCAACGGGTGCTCAAATGATATCACTTTGCAACATTATATATCCAGTGTAAGTTGAACTCCGATACATTTGAAATAGGTTAACATGATAAGAATAAAATTTACTTACCGATGAAATATTATGCCACCTTTTTGATAACTGGATGTCTTAGTTGACTTGCCACGTCATTACACTGCATAGGAAGCCATTTGTAATGTATTTTGGATACAAAATTATTTTTAAATTTTTAAAAACTAGGACGTGCCTACGGGTCTCTTACTTGGTCGACAATGGTATCGTGATTATTAGCGTCACTTCATATGCTAGCTACAGCAAGTATGTGTTGCGCGCGTTTGTGGCCCTGTATGCGGAATCTATTAGGAGGTAATCTGTGCATGATTCCAACATTCTATGACAATTTCAAACTAAGGATGTCGTTTACCCACTTATCCATGTACTGTATAAATAATTTTTATCAAATGGCCAATTAACAATTTCAAAACACTGCCAATTTTAATATATACAGCCCACATTTATATATATATATATATATATATATATATATATATATATATATATATATATATATATATAAATTGTTATATATCCAACTCTTTGCAGAAATATGTGGTAACCTGACAAATGACATAATGCAAATAGAGCCTAAAGGGATTAGGCAAACACAGGGTGACATGTGGTGCAGCAAGAGGGCAACCAGCATTCCAATGAGCATCGTAGATATTTCAGTCAAAACTTCTGTTAAAGAAATTTGTCAAAAGTTGTTTTGACTAAATAATATTGAATGAACTAGTTTTTACAAATATATCAATAAAAATTATAAAACTAGTTTCATTTAAATGTCTAGTATTTGTTAAAACAAAATAAATCAATAAAAAATATTGGCTAATAAATTTTGACTACAAAATATTGATTAGAAGTTATTTTGCCCAAGCGTTGAGAAAATCTCTTGCGACCAGGAGTAATAATGGTGATTAATATTTTACAAATATTTTTTGACAATCTTATCTACTCCAATTTAATCACAAAACAAATTGGTAAGAGCGTGCCATCAAATAGCAGTGCATGCAATATTAGCAACTTAACATCAGGTGAGCTGTAAGATCGATTGTCAATTCAATTCTTTAAAAAAAAACATATAAGTTCATATTTGTTTCTAAGCCTCACCAGTTTTTCATAAGATAGTTCAAGACTTTGGGTACTGCTTGATCATGTAAGTATTATCAGTGACAGTAGATCCGGTTGATTAAGGGATCAACCTTTAAAAAACTAATTTAGCATAGGAAAATCTAATTTGAGCTAGTCGGATTTGCCCATGATAGTGCTTTTGACAGTGATTCGATCCCTCCCCCCCTTTCCAATTCAAAAAGAACTAATAAATAATCAAAACTCCTGTCATCACTCAACTTGTAAACAGATGGTAAGTTGAACACAATATGGATGAGGCACTATCAGACAAGTCTCAAGCAAAACTTGCCTTCACTTTATCAGACAAGGTTTTTCATTTAAATAAATTGTTTCAAATCAAAACACTTTAGATGAAACTTGTAATAAGATACATACCCTTTTAAGAGGCACTTTAAAACAAATAATTCTAGTCCCTTCAATAACTTTACCGCAAGCTTTGTACTGCAACCACCTGTAATTTAAACGTACAATTTGGACAAATATTACAGTTTGAGCAGATAAATTTCAATAATTATGTAAATAATCATTTTTACAAACATTATTACCTATCTGGTATGGCTGAAACCATTTTTAACTTAAAATTATTAACGATATCACTAGCACATGTCTGTAATGAAAATTAGATAAAGTTTTTTTTTATAAATATGCGAAAACAGCAACTAGTACCAAATACCAACAAACAAATAACACACAAACACACAAAACTAACCTCAAATTAAATTTTTCATAGATTACTGACTATGTATGTATAGAGAATTTAAACCATAGATAAGTAAATATGTAGCAAGCTACGTGACAGCTTAGTTCCATTCTACGCAACTTGGCGCTACCGTCGCAATTTTTACTCTGCCTACGGACGCCATTTTGAGACGCCATATTCTATTATTGTCAAAACTATCGATATTGATTGCCGCCATTTGCCGCCATTATTTATCTAAATTTTTCTCAATTATTACAATATTTTGTTTTTGTGCTGCTCGTGTGAATATTGCATATATCATCATAATGGTATACGAAAAGTGTTGTGTTGGTGGTTGCAATACAACACGTGAAACGCACCGGCTTTTCAGATTCCCTAGGAACGATAATTTAAGGAACTTGTGGATGGCTTTCATAGTGCCGACAAATCCCCAGCTCATTGTACTTTCCAAAGAACAGTTACTTAACAAACGTGTCTGTGAAAAACATTTTGATGTATTTCAGTTCGGCAATGAAGGCAGAAGACTTCGATACTCTTACCCGTCCTTGCTTACTGACAATGAAATAGCTCATGGTGTGCCTCTGACTGCAACTGGTGAGTTATTTTATTACTTTCAACCATGGTACTTAAAAGAGAAGGAGACGTCTCTATACATTCTTGGGCCCAAGTATTAACAAGATAAAAGTACGACCATTTGTAAGTGTCATTGACTCTACATCATTATTTGCTATGATAGTGTAATTTTTTCAGGATGGGATGTCACAACTGAACATAATTACTGTAAAGAGCAAAATGAAGATGATTTCACAGAAGCTGTGTTAGTGGTTAGAAAGCCTGGTATGTACAAATATCTTAATTGATGTTAATTGTAAATCATAGTAAACATATTATGATGAACACTGATTTCTAAAAATATTTTATTTAAATTACAGTCAGTGGCAAATTTTTCAACATTTTGAATAATGTTTTCAGGAAGTGATGTTACGATTGAACACAATTACTACAAAGAGCAAAATGATTGTTCCAAATCATCGGTAGAGATTGGATCGTCAGATGTGTACTAATATTCATGTAGCACTAGTTACTAAGTAGCAAAAAAAGCTTTCTAACTATTTCATAAATTTACTAACCATTCATTTTGTAATAATGTGTTTGCCTAATCATACTGACATCTATAAAAATGCAATCTTGTAACAAATTTCAGATGTTGGAAATTCTCATGAACAGCCTTCATGTTCAAATTTTTCAACTGTTGCAACAGTTGTTGAAAATAAAGGTATGGGAAATTGTATTGGACATAATTTTTTATACATTTATGTAGGGATCAAATTAAAAGAAGTACTTATGTATCAGGTAATAGAAAAAATACTTTAAATGCTTAAAAACAGGCTGTGAACTGGAGGTGTCACTGCATACCTGGAACTGCATCAGTTCTAGAGGATGGTTATGTGTATTTAATTTAGAAATACAATACGGAGAAGCATACATTGTAAATTTAATTTATGTTTAAGACCATAACATTCATAACTATTGCTTCTTTTCAGGAATTGATTCTAATGCTAATGTGGTGAAACAAATGATGCCAAAAGGTAGTGTACAGTGTAAGTGTAAGGGCACATGTACAAAAAAGCAAACAGGTATGATAAATTCAGTTTATTCTTAGACATAATTAGAAAAAGTTTCAATATCTACCTCAAATCACAATAAGAGTTTTTTGTTCTTCACCTAATCCCAATATTACAGTTCCACTACACTTCAATGGTTTTATCAACAAGTCCTTTACTGTTAAGGTTACATTTTTCTGGAACTCTTCCTCTGATGACATCCACTTTATTTGTTATCTTATCAAAGTGAATACATTAAAAGATTAAAATAAAAATGTATAAATAAAAAATTAATAATTTTAAGTGTATCATTCAGTCATAAAATATGAACATAGAATTTAATTATTTTATTTATTTCACTTCAGGTTACATGGCGAAGAAAATAGTATCAAGGAAAAGAAAATTGGTTAAATTTTTGACTAATATTGCAACTGAAAGTTTAAGTGACCCAGTATCACAACGACTTGATACTTTGGAAAACTTTTATTTGTTAAACAAACAAGCTCAGACTTTCTTGTTTATGCAATTAAAACAAATTCATAAAAGCAAAATGGCCAGAAGGTTTACCTTAGATGAAAAATTAATGGCATTGCTCATAATGAAACAAAGCCCCAAAAGTTATAAACTATTAGAAAGAATATTTGCCTTGCCTAGTAAACGGACATTAAATAGACTTTCTGAGAAGGTTTCAATACAAGCAGGACTCAATCCATTAATATTTGAACATATATCAAATACAACAAAAAAATGGGACACTAAACAAAAGCTATGCACAATAGTTTTTGATGAAGTCTCTCTGACACCACATTTAACTTTTAATGAGAAAGATGATATAATTAATGGGTTTGTAGATATAGCTGGAGAGAGAAAACTAAAATATTGTGATCATGCTTTAGTTTTTATGCTAAGAGGAATATGCTCTCCATGGAGACAGAGTGTAGCATTTTATTTCTGTGAAGGCACAGTATCAGCAGCAGAGCTGCAATGCATTTTAAAGCAGATTGTGCCCCAAGTAATACAAACTGGGTTAATACCTTTAGGTCTTGTTTGTGATCAAGGGTCCACATTTCGAACAGCAATAAGAAGACTTAGGGAAGATACAATTCGTAGGCGGAATATTCAAGGTGTTCATGATGGTGTGTACCATTCTTAATTACTTAAAAACCAGTTCTACTTCATGACAAATATTATTTATTTTAATTATTTTACAGATGGATCAGTTAATATTGCTGATCACGATTTAAGCATATTTTTTGACCCACCTCATCTCTTAAAGGGTTTAAGAAATAATTTTTTAAATAAAGATATAATTTGGGAAGAAAAAACCGCCTCTTGGAAAGATATTGAGTTCATTTTTGATTTGGATAGCAAATTGGGACACACAAGGGCACTACCAAAGTTAACAGCTCATCATGTTGATCGCAAAAAGATCAAAAAAATGAAGGTCAGCGTAGCTGCTCAAGTATTTAGTGCTCGAACTGCTGCTATGCTCAAATATACAAATGCACTCAGTAAATAACGATTGCTATATTGATTTGTAGGCTTATTCAATTTATGTATATACTATTGTAAAATTTCATGTAAAAAAATCAATTTGTAAAAAAATGGTTAAAAAAGTCTGTTGTTGTAACCAAATAAGAAGTGTCTTGGCTAAAGATTTGCAGGTCCAACTGTAAAAGAAATTAAATTAAGAAGTACTTTTTTTTTCAGATTATTTTCATACTGCAAACTCTGACGCAACAATGGCCACAACAGCAGAAGTTGTTGAATTCTTTGACACACTGTTTGACAGCGTCAATGGCTACCCGGGTGGTGTGCAAAGAGGAAAGTTAAGACGAGCGGTTAAACAAAATTCACAACATCACACTTTTTGGATTGAGGCCATTAATAAAATAAAAAAAATGGTTTTTGTGGACACCAGTAGCAAACATGCTACAAAAGCAGGAAAACCTCGACTTGTGCGAGTGCCATCCCAACAAGGATGGGTTACAACTCTTGAAAGTTTTATAAGGGTCTCCAAATTATTATTTGAACAGTATAATGTAGAATATTATTATCCGAGGAATATTAATCAAGACCCATTAGAGAATTTTTTTGGACATATAAGAGCTGTAAATTATAGAAATGTTAACCCAGATGCAAACACATTTATATATGCCTTTAAATCTTTGATATTATCTAACATGCTTAGTCCACATTCCAAATTCTCTAATTGTGAAGAGGATAATGGAGAAACATTATTAAATGTTAGTGTTCTTTTTAAAAACCTTCATAATAATAAAGAAAATGACTCGGAAAACACTACCAGTGTTTTGCGAGATCTCCCATCTTCTTCACAAGCAAGTTCAGGAGAAAAATTGCTAGTGAATGATGTAGTCATGGAAAAAATTAAAGTCCACTGCTCAGCTTACACTGCTGGATACATTTGTCGGAAAATAACGAAAGCGATTCGTTGTAAGGATTGCATCAAAACATATATTAGCAGTACGGAGACAAACATTCACTCTTACATTAAATTTAGAGAGTATAAATTGTTAAAAAATAATAATTTGGCATACCCTAACGAAAAATTCCTTATCTTGTACAGGGATGGCACTCACTTTATTCATAACTATTTGAATTATAGCTGTATTGGAAGTAATATAAAAAGTAATTTGAAAAGAAATTTATTGAGCACTTTAAGTTTGTCCTGCCTAGGGTGTGATAAGCATGCCTTAATTGTCAAAAACTTTTTTCGTCAATATTTTAATTAGATTACATGGACACAATTGGTGCAACATAAATAATAAAATATTGAAGGGTGATATCGATGAAAAATATGTATCTAAAATGGGTGAACCCCAAAAATTGGCCTTAAAGAAGTATAAAAGTTTTAGGTTAAGAAAAACATGTTTAAGTAAATAAAATGTTGATGAAGTGACGACCTGTATATGCTGGTGGCTTAGGACCGTGATTTGTGGCATTTCTTGGGGGAAGCCTACGTTCAGCAGTGGACTTGTGAAGCGCTGTAATGATGACGGTGGTGAAATAAAATTCTAAAAATTAAGTTATATGATAATATAGATCACTTTTGAATTATGATTATACTAAACTGTCGTTAACAGTAGCCATACAGCATTAATACATACAATACAGAAGTATACATTATATATTTATTCTTTAATTTTGGGTTTATGTATAAGAACAAAATTCACAAATATTGTTGGTTTTCAGAAACAGAAATCTAATGCTGATGTGGTGAGACAAATGTTGACAGAAGATACAAAATGTACACATTGGCAAAAAAGGTATGATAAATTCAGTTTATTCTTAGACATTAAGTAAGTTTCAACATATCTATTATATCTATATTCAGCATATTATCCTCAAATCACAGTAAGAGTTCTTTGTTCTACATCAAATCTAAAGATTACAGTTCCACTACACTTCAATGGTTTTATCAACAACTCCTTTAGTATTAAGGTTACACTTATTTGGAACTCCGTGCCTGAAGACATTGAGAAATCTCCTGATAATGGATGTATACAGTGTTAATCTTTATATGTTTTTTATTTCTTATTTACTGCATCTACCACTTTATTTTCACCACACCATGGGTTGACCAATAAAAAATGGCAACTGCCATGATGCCACCCTTTGTTACCTTAATATAAATAATATACAATTTATGATTATCATTAAGTCATAAAATATGAATATTGAACTTTATTTTTATTTATTTCTTTTCAGGTTACGTGGTGTAGAAAATGAAATTAAAGAAGAGAAGATGTTTTTTAATTTTTGTAAAAGAATTCCCAGGTTTACCCCTAATGAAAAATAAATAGCATTGCTTCTAATAAAAAATGACTTGAAAGTAAAATATTAAGCACTTAAATATGATTCCTGTGGTTTAATTTGCTTTATTTAATGAACTGTAAATATTGCTCTGTTTCGTCAAATTGTACTTATTTATGTAAAATGTTATGTACAATTTTCTAATTTGTATATATGACTTAATGTGCCTTTAATTTAATCCTAAGATTACGTTTGTATGTATAGGATGTTGGTGTGCTTGAATAAAAAATAAATAAGTTAGATGTATTATAATTGTTTCATTAAGTATTATTATTCCTGTATAATGCACTTATGTCGATATCGACAAAATAAGAACACCACTAAACATCGATATCGATAATTAGAAGGCTGTGTGCTTGCAATCCCTAAGCTATACTAAATTGTATAGTCATGACGTCATTACTCATCTGTCAAATTGGGCGACTGCAGCGCCAAAAGGCGTAGTTGGGAAACTTGACTAAAAGTCGCTGTCGTATCTGTAGCTTGCTACATATTTATTTATCATAGACGTAATTATGGAGTGTTTTTTTATTAACTGGCTTTACGGCTCTGGGTTCCATCCTTTCTGAGCCTGAAGTTACAATATATAATTTAATTAAAATCTTTAAAAATTAAATATGTCATAG